TTGGCTACTTCGTGTCATGCGATACATGGATCTTGGAACACATGGGTGGTCAAGGACTATATCATCCGTCTTCTTGTCAAAGAATTTGATGCTGCACTGGCCTCCGATGGACACAGTGAAAATTTCGGATTCGGGGTGGATGGTGGCTTCATCATCCGAATGTTTTGGTAGGGAGCCATCCTCTTTGAAGCGGTTGATCAGCAGACTATTGATCTTCGGTTTCTCACCACTACAGAATGCCCCATTGATTTTGTCCATCAGTTTGGAGAAGCTGGTTGACTCTAGCTGACCATTGGGTGACTTGGAGCCATTATACTTGTATGGTTCTCCCAGAGAATACACAGCACGAGCTCCTTCCACAACAAAATCCTCGTCAAGTGATTGACAGGCAAGGAGGAGAAGATCCTGCTCTTCTGTGGTGATAAACTCTTCTATAGCGCCTACAACTGGTTCTTCTCTTGATTTGAGATGCTCATTAGCTGTTAGGTCTGGGCCAGGGGCAAGTGAAGAATTGGTAAGTTGGGCATTTAAATGGTCAGAAGAAGCCAAAGAATTTTGCTCAAGAGTGTTCAAAGACTGTCTAATGGCTGTTAGCTCCTGATTCGTCTCCAGAGACTGCTTGGAATTTAGCTCCTGCAGATTCTTCTCTATTTTTTCCATGAGATCGTTGGTCTTGGAGGAAGATTGAGCACTTACTTGAGGAGTAGAAAAGTCCTGCAGTTGCTTGTTCAACACTTTAATCTGTTCTGTTAGGCCACTATCAGACTCAGAAACCTTTCCGAGTGTAGAGTCAACTGAAGTTTTCAGCTGCTTTAGATCTCCTTCCATCACTTCAACCCATGCTGGAGCAGTGCCCTTGTCACTTACCAGTAGGTGCTTGATATGGAGGTCAAGGTTCTGGATGGCAGCAATGCTGTCGTTTAGACTGTCAAAGTCAACCTTTGCAAGCTTTTCACCAAAAGCTGTGATGGTATTAAGCTTCTCTGTGGCAATAGCAGTCTCACACTGACTGTTAGATTTTTGAAGTGTCAGAGTGTTCCTACACACATAACACACATCTTCAGCAGTTTCGAATGTGGGGATTGGTGAAACCAAACAAAAAGGGCAGTGCCAATTGGTCATGCTGTTGACATTTTTCTGGTTGAGTCCATTCATAGTTAGACAGTCTATGTGCCAATATTGCTTGCACTTTACACAGTCAATCTTCCATGACGATATTGACTTACTACATGGACATTTCGTCTTGTCCCTGTGTGAACTGTCAAACTTTGGGGGTGTTACATCACTGTCTACAACAATAGTTTCACAAGATACATCCTTTCCCTTCGCCTCTGGTCCTGGAGTGTTGTTCTTGATTCGGGACTTTGCCTTTTTGTCCGCAGGGGAAGGAATCCGAGACATATTGGTGATAGATGAGGCTCTCTTGTTACTCTTGTTGTTGTCACCCATACTCAGCAAACGTTAAAACAAACAGCCAGCAAAAGTCAAAACAATCAGCTGTTAAGGCAACGTGTAAACTTACGGCACCCCTTAGAACCTTGTAAAAGTCCTTTCAGTAAAATTTGTTTCATTAATCAACTTACTACACAAACAGTAATGAATGTAGAATTGAGAAAACAGCGAAATAATGAGTTTTCTAGAAATACTAAATAGAAGTGAAATCATTATTGAAACAATAAGTTTTATTTTACATTCCTTTAACCTTAAATAAAATAAGAGCTTGAACCACGAATTAGGTAACTAGAAGTAAACTTGAGGAAATATTCTTTGTTGATCGTATATAATCATTTAATAATAATAGTTAATAGCACTATGTTTTCTGTATGCACTGAAGGGGTATCCTAGGAAGTTTCTTGAACTTTTTATTAAGTTTCCTATCATTCGGCTGAGTCGACAGAGGAGATCGCATAGATCCAATGGATCCTTAGCTACTCCCTAGACTAGGTGACACTAGAATTCGAACCCTGAACATTCTGCGCAGAAGGCAGATACTCTAACCACTAGGCCACCTAGCACCTCATTCATTAAACTTTATTTGGTTGTTGTTATTTTTCATGGCAGGTGGTTGAATTTAGTGAGACAGGGCAGAGCCAGTTTCTCTATCATCTAAAAAAATTCTCAAGAAAATATTCATCACGAATTACTCATACTTTGGAAAAAAAAAGAAAAAAAAGGGGGGACCCCAAACCCATGTAGCTTGAACACCTCACAGCAATAGCCACTTTGGTCTACTTGCTGTGAGGTGTCCCAGCTATATACTACAAGGGGTCCCCCCTTTTTTTCTTTTTTTCTTTTAAAACGTGCTTCTTTCCCGTCACTCTTTAAGCATATATTTTATCTATCCAGAGCCCTTGCACTTGCAGTGGCGCGCGCCCGCCTCCCTTTACTTGTGAAACAAGCGCGCCCGCAGTGGCGCAAAAGCACATTTGACGGATGTTACTCGTCTAAATTTCTTCAAAGTAGCGCGCGCCGCTTTCTTCTCGATGGCACGAGCTACGAAGTAGCGCGCACCGGGCCAGATCATTAACAATGGTCAAAAGCACATGCGCAGCGCTTTCGCCTAATCATGCGCATTTGAGTACTACGCGCGCGTGCTTCTACAATCAAAAAGGCTTTGGCTAGAGCAACGCAACATATTATGTGCGTGATAATCATTTATTTTTATTTATTCCTCGCTCATCCTACGAATAGCATATATAAAATAAAAATTGTTCTTTGATTTCAGTGCAGTGCATATTGCATAACTTGCCTCACGCTGTGGCAGTCCTGCCGCACACAAGTTGATAGTGCCAAGTGCGCTGCCAAACGAGATTTTGTAAATCTAGTTGGATCAAATGTGCTTTTAATTATTTACTCATATTGACAGTTAAAAACTTTCTGGAAAATATTAAATATTTTTATTATTTATTTTGCTAGGGAGCAAACGTGAAATGTGATGTTAATGTTTATCAAAAAAAGGTTGTAGGTGAAGTAAAGGATGAGGTAAATAAGTAAAGGATGAGGTTGTACGAGACTTCTGATAGAGGGGTCTCATATTTGATGTCAATCTTTTTTCATCTGTACCCACGAAGAGCGATAAGCTAAAAGTTGTTCTTAGCATAGCAAATCTTATCCTCGTTCTTACATTCCTTACTACATCACAGTACCTCCTTTCTGTATTCCTCTTTCTGGCTATGAGATCTGGTAATCTGTTGACAAATTGCTTGCACTCTTTCGATATACCTCCAGATCCTAGGAAGTTTCTTGAACTTTAACAGGTACCCCTCCTCATTTAACCCTCAATCAAGTTTCCTATCATTCGACTGAGTTGACTGAGGAGATCACATAGATCCAATGGATCCTTAGCTACTCCCTAGATCATAAATAAAATAAATTTAAGCTTTTATAGCAGCAATTAGAGTACCCCATACTTACATTCATATTCACCAGCACTCATTCTCACCTGGCTCAATGAGCGGGAAACGTTGCTCAGGGGAATGATTTGTACTACTAAATGCTGGTGGAACCAATCTGATCCATGATATTATGACAGTCTTTCCTTTCAGTCAAACACAAATTTAATCCACAATAACGATTTCCACCAGCGACCAACCATCCTGGTCTATCTTAAGAGATGATAGTGATGGTATACGTGACTACTGTCTAAGTGTGGCCTGCCTGAAGTCTAGGATGAAGCAATCACTGCTCGTCAACCAGCATAACCATGCTGATCTTGATTGGACAAACAAAGATTTCGAATGCTCTAATCTAAATTTTGACATTAAGTCTACCCTAGGGTCCACACATCCAAAATGATTATCTTGAAATTGAAAATTAGCTGGGTGTGCATTTTCCTTTGTCTTACTAACGTGTGTGAGCGCAGTGTAGTGAGAAAGTGTTTTTAACAGATTTATTATTAGACTTAGGATTATGATTTTTAATATATTACATTGATATAAGATTTATTTTTGATAGGTACTTAATAAAGTTGATGAATTTCCCTCCCTATTAAAATTTTAAACCCATTTAGTGAAAATTGATAAACGAAGATCTAGATATTGATACATATTATAACCAACATAGCTTATATTCTGCCTTGTAAACAAAGAGCAAATCTTCTTAATGCCTTCTTCCTGTCCTAAAACTAAAACTTCATCCTATTAAAGTAAAGGCCAGTTGTTACCACAAGCTATTATACCGTCCCTCTCAAAAACATGCCTCAGCCTCCATCAAAAACAATTTTAGTTTTCAGTCCTTCTAGTTTCCAAAAATCTACCGAGCTAGTGTTCTGGTGTGCACAAAAGCCCCTAAGCCCGTGCATTCCTTGCCCCGCTAGCTGCCAGTCCTTGACAAACTTCCAATAGCAAAGATCAACTAGTCATTTACAAATTGAGCACTATACAATTTTAATTGTTTTAAATATTTGACTTTGTAAAATGAGCTAAAACATTGATTTATTAGTTTCATTGATTGATTTATTAGTTTCATTGATAACAGCATCACTGATCACTGCTTTTCGCTATCTTGAACATATTTCCATAGGTGACCTATAATAAAGATCATTATTACATCACTCAATTCCTTGTCACTTTACTTCCCTTCAACCCATCCTACTCAGTCGATTGCCTCATTTTCTTGATGTCATTATCTTTACACCAAATGGGCATTATATTTTATGAATTGTTTTACATCTTTTTATTCTGTAAAATGTGCTAAAATTAAATTTCTTGTTTCATTGAAATTTCTTGTTTCATTGAGTTCAGTTGAAAATTTTCAACCCACTTAGTACTCTCGACCCACTTAGTCCACATGCCTTGCAAACTCTTGCCGAAGATGGAACCATTAAAATCAGTTGTCTGAGATTAGAAAGCTTAATCTCATCTGGGCACTTTAGCAATTTATAGGTGGCTGCATTTTGTTCTCCCACCCTCTCCACAAGCTATTTTATGAGACTCTAATTTGATCCAAGTTATATGTTAGATTTCAACAAAACATTGAGGTGTAATTTTTACTTCAATTCTAGGTAGCACCAATATATAATGTTCTATGATGGTCTCAAAAGATGAAGAAGAGCAAGTCTGTGAAGTTGAAAGTGAAGATTGCACAACAAACGGAGTAGACCAACCCTTGCCAAATAAAGATGTAGTCTTTGTTAATGCAGCGGAGGAGATTCCTGAATATCGAAAGCAGCTGCTTCTTGCGAAAGATGAAATGGCCAATGTTGCAGACATGTACCAGCAGGATTACTTGGACAAAGTAGAACACAGGTAAAGACTTGTCTGTTGTTTTGCAATTTTCCTACCGCGTCCATTTTAGGTGTTATTCTCACTATTCATGTGGTATCGTATCTATATAACTTTCTTTTTCTTGTAACACGCAAATTTTTTCTAAAATGTCTGACATTTTTGCATGAGCTTTGGTATGCTTGAGCAGGGTAATGACCTGAACTTTTCTTTTTCAGAGTTGACCTTGCAAAAGAAGCAAGATCAAAAGCTGTATCCTGTTTGGTTGATGTCAGCAAAAGAATCTACAATTTAGCGGGCTGTTTTCAACAACTTTTAGATGACCAAGTGGACAAACTGCAAGAAATTGAAAACATGACGGTTACAGCATCTGCATCATTAGAAATATCCTCATGTTATAGTCTCAGAAATGAGCTCCACTTAAGATTTCCCGCTGCCCACCTTACTAACAGTCAGCCCAGATTAACCCTTCCTGATAACAACACCCTTCCAAACAACGAATTTTTGGGGAGGAAAAATGTTATCTGGGAGAAACTGAACTACAATAAGTATGACAGATTGGGTGCAGGTTTGAATGAATTTGATGGAGCAGACGAGGAGTCTATGTATGTTGAGCCCAGCGTACCCAAATCAAGGTCGCAGCAGTCTCTTCAAAGTACGGGAAGCAGTAACAAATCATTTGTTACTGCCACTTCTGCTTTATCACCTGTCCCTAATTCGAGTATGTTTGTTATTTATGCAAAATCTATTTCAAATCTATATATTATACCTAGTGTTGTTAATTGCAAATTAGTCAATTTAAATGATCAAAAATCGGTATGAATTTTATGATTTCATTTTAACCGTATATCTTAAATTTCATAATATATTGAATTTATTAATTATATAAGGGATCATGTCTACAATTTTAAATGCTTAAATCATATTTAATACTTTTATATCATTAAGTACTTTTCAGCTGACAGCCTTTTTAAATTTGTATATATTTCAGATCACAGCTCATTACAAGCAAGAGACACGCGTCTTTCTGCCAGTTCTATAGATATCAGACAACCTAAGAGCCCGGCACTTAACCGATACGGCTCTCTCACCTCCCTCACCTCCCTCAACTCTTCAAAGGTGTGTGTCTGTATCACACAGCATGATATACGGTGTTCAGATACATTAGTGTCGAGTTGGCATTCAAAACCATGCAAGGTGTCCTCTTCGACATTATTTGTGGGTGCAGCATCCATGCTTAACTTTTAATACATGTAGCTTGCGATGCAGACAAACTCGAGTTTCACATGTGCTATATTTGTATATGCACAGAGCTGTGTAACTGTGTAACTTTCAGAGCGACACTAAGAGTAGTGGGGCACCAGCCTCCTCAAAACCTGTTGCCACCGTCAAACGAAGCCTATCTGTAGGTTCCCGATATAAAAGCAAACCGTGTCGTACTCCTGCATGTCTCAATGTTCCTCGTGTGTGTGGAATTGTACCGTAATTATGTAATACTCCCTCAGATTCCCTGATTAATGGTGCTAGTTCTATCAACTTTAGTAGTACAACTAGTGAACACACAGATTAATCGCATCTTGATTCTAACTCCTCCCTTTTGTCCAACTTCTCAGCCCAATATTTAATTAGCCTTGATTAACGTCAGATCAGTAACTTCGTTTTATTCTCGGTGGAGGACAGATGGGCTCCGATATGTTCCATTCTGTCCATGCTTTGCTTGCACTGGAAAGCATGCAGTTCTCCCTGGGCTAGCTTTTGTTCCTCAGGTGTCATACATATTATTATATGCAATATGCTAGCCTTTCCTCAACACACAGTAGCTGGACGTAAATCTTTCAGGGGATGCTTACCTCGCAGCTTATCTTGCAGCCGTTTTTAAATTCGACATATTATTATAACGATGTATTAATTGTAGTATCCAGCAAGCAGTATGGTTGATTTTATCGGTTTAATTGACTGTTTAATTGACCGATGTAGATGCCATCTTGGTATTGGTTATCTCCCGTTATCTCACTATTAGAACATGATGCTTGGTGCTAGGGTGAAATGGACTTTGTTCTTATACACAAACCCATTCAACCATAACCTCGCTTGGGGGGGCCATGCATGTCAAACATATTTAAATGTTTCTCGTTTTTAATTACGTATCAGCTGTACACTAAAACTGTTATCAAGATAAAGACTTTTGGGCTTGTCGCAAAACCTCTCTCCAAATCGTTCATCTCAATATTATATATTGTACTGATTTGCATGACAAATTCTTCAAACATTCACTGTAAGTAGTACTTTAAGTCTATGTTCCAGGTCCCTACGACCCTACATGCATGTCGATCTATTCTATAAAATGTTGATCTATCGCCTATCAATTTACAGCCTAGATCGATATAACACCTGTCGAATGTGATCAGTTTACTGCCCAATGCTCTGATTTAATATGATTCCAACTCTTAGCAGATAACAAACTGTTCTTATTCCAGACCATACAAATCACAATCTCCTCTGTCTGACTGCAGATGTTTGCAGCTCTAACAAATTGGGTAAAATTCTGTTCAGAGCTGACAAGCTGCTCAATTACCCCACTTTAACAATATCTAAAATCCGTCAGTCACTAAAACTGCAGCCGCACAGGGCGGCCCCAGCACCCCCACCCGCCAAACAATACACGACGCGAAACCGGGTCTACAGCGTTAAGAACGAGGTACCTCCGACTTCTCATGAAGTCACTTTTTAAAATTATCACAATTTGACAAGTTTAATTGTATTTTTTCACTGATCGTTAATTTTAAGTTTGAAGCAATTCAATTTCAATCACTTCAAGATTTGTTATGTCCCATAGATTTGCCATCAATTGGTTTTCATAACACATCATTTCATTTGTCAGCACATTTCCCGCGTGAAGCACCTCATGAACCAAGGTAGAATACTCCGCAGACTGCCCAGTAGGCTGCTCAGTAGGCTGCTGTTTTATCATTTGTTGGTTCCAAGTTCCAACTATCTGCAGGGATGTTGTGTGCCAGAATTAACTATTAGTACTGCTGAGGCACTGACCTCTCCCTGATCTCAGAGCCGTGGAGCCTACGGCTAACTTAGTTAAATCGGCGAGCTGGCCCTCAAAATCCATTAAGATCTATTGTGCTATTCAGCTTGCTTATCGAGTGAGTCACAAGATATACACTTGTATTTCACCGCGACCTCCTTTAAAGTCAATTGACGGCCTAGTTTTTCAGCTGCTATCACGGTTGTTAGCCTTGTCCTTACTCTCCCATTCGGATTTAGGGTACTATAAAAGGATGAGGTTTACAATTATAAATGGTACTGAAACTAGTTGGGCACTGTTGAAGTCGTCTCTGATAATACATGTATGATCTTTATTATTTCCCGATCATAGCATAGTCTGACTATATCCGGGAATAACTGAGCCCTGATAGAGTGTTTGCGGGTATCCTATAAAGTGAGGCCCATGATTGTGGAGTGGTTACAAAGAAGAACAGTTTCAGGAACCAACCTCCTATAAAAGTCAGACACTCCCAACCCGACGGCGCTGCAAGTCGTCGGGAGTAAGGTCTTCTTGGTTCATGCCATCCAACTCATCACACTACCGGCCCCTCACGACATCCCAACACCAAGGCAACCTCCCCAGCCTAACCGAAGTGTTGATCTATCAGACAGGTGAAGGGTTGGAGAAACCCAGTATCCCGGCTCCAAGACCACCGCCAGTATTTGAGGAGGAGGACCACTATGCAATACCTCCCCAACATCGCATGCCTACTCTCAGCGAGGTGAGTGTAGTACGGGGTATAGATTATATCTGGTTACTTATTTTACCTCTAGGGTTACCGTGACAAGTATACTTGTTACCATGACAACTAATTTGGATGACATCATGACAACTTGTCATCTTGTCAACCCATGTTGCCATGGAAAATGCACCGTAAGTTTTTTTAGAATTCTGTAAACTGAAGTCGTTAAAAAATAACTGCTTCCCAAATTTATGTTAGTAAATTTGCATCAAATTTATTCAGTAGATTTGTAGCCAACGAACAGACCGTACGATCCTAACCCAGTATCCACTCACCACAGTGTATATTGATCACGTGTGCTAAAGGGATCACCTTGTGTCCCAACTCCCATATAATAATGGTAAAGTGAAAGATTTGAATGAAAAAGTGCGCTTAACTTATTTCAGAGGACCATGTAAGCATCTAGTCAGGGTCCATCTTGCATCACATCAGGGGTGTAACACCACTCCAACGTTACAGTAACACCCAACAAGTTACAGCAATATCTAAAACGTTACAGTAACACCCAACAAGTTACAGCAATATCTAAAACGTTACTGACAAAACATTACCAGCATACTATACATGGAGATTTTGTCGACTTGTGTTTGCTATAATATTGATCATCTGATAACTAAATAACACATTGTTGTATCGAAGGGGATGTCTCGTTCGGTTGGTGTTAATAACAAATGGTAAATATATTAACTGCTGTAACCGGTGTTGCTACGCAACTGACGTGAAGTTCATGAGCTGTTCACATGTTCCACCGTGAAGCATTGATTGTTTGAGCATGATACACTGCGAGTGTGAGAGTTTGTTTGCGAGTGTGTTTGTGTGTGTGTGTTTGTACAGCGTGTACTGTATACAATATAATATAAGTATGAGAAAAAGTATAAAATTATATACATTTTATAATCCTATATATTACATGAATTGTTTTAGGTTTTCTAGAAATGGCAGTTAAACTTAGAAGGTGTATAAACTGTACATCTTTGAAATATAGCAAAGATTCAGTTTCCAAATTTAATTTGTATCTAAGCAGGAAGTAAATCGTCCGATCTTATTCAGGAAATTTCCGGTAACACTGAATAGAGTTAAAAACTATTTTTTAACTGGGAATGTTCAGGAACAATGAACATTCATGCTCTTACTTTTCCGAATATTTCCATTTAATAATGAATATTTAATATGATGTCTCCTATCATTTAGCCAATCTAACAATAAATCAGCTCCCCCAAGTCGTGTGTCAAAGTTGGGACTCATATCCGCTCATGGTGAGCAAATGTTCCTCATACGACAACGTGTACTGCCCTAAAGAATAAGATACGTAATATAAACCAGTCCGGTAGTTACTTTTGTTATATCTCTTCGTCCTGCCCAGCAAATCATACACATAACCCTTATCTTAACTCTAACAAACCCCCGCATTAGTCAATAACCCTAACTCTAACTAACCCCAACTCTAACTAACCCCCACAATAACCCCCACAATAACCCTAACTCTAACTAACCCCCACAATAACCCTAACTCTAAATAACCCCCACAATAACCCCAACTCTAACTAACCCCAACAATAACCCCCACAATAACCCTAACTTTAACTAACCCCAACAATAACCCCCACAATAACCCTAACTCTAACTAACCCCAACAATAACCCTAACTCTAACTAACCCCAACAATAACCCCCACAATAACCCTAACTTTAACTAACCCCCACAATAACCCTACCTTTAACTAACCCCAACAATAACCTTAACTTTAACCCCCACAATAACCCTAACTTTAAATAATCCCCACAATAACCCTAACTCTAACTAACCCCCACAATAACCCTAACTTTAACTAACCCCCACAATAACCCCCACAATAACCCTAACTTTAACTAACCCCCACAATAACCTTAACTTTAACCCCCACAATAACCCCAACTCTAACTAACCCCAATTACTATTATTACTGCGGTACACGGCTTTGGGACACAACGTCTTGGGGCTGGAGGTGTATCACTAATGTACTGTATAGGGGGCTGGGGGACAATTATTAATATCTTCAGCATTATTGGGTAAATGGTATGTCTACAACGAAGGGTAATAATAATAGTATAACCCTCTCTCATGTAACGTGATGGTACATTACCAGCAAGGCTCCCTGATCATATAATAAAACTATTGAGTGTTGATACAGCTGTTTGAAGAAAGATAAAAGATAGGGTGCTGAGTGCTCTATAATATGTTTGACTGGTGTAATTATGGTTGTTCATGAGTCCCTTTTAATTCTCAAAACTGCATTATCGCACACTACACACGACAATGTTTTGAGATAGTCTTATAGTTAACAGCTGGCCTTTGGTGTTCGCACGGATTGAGGGTAGATCATTAAGGCCTTGTATTATATAATATATAGATAATGCCAGGTGTTTGTAATGATAGCTCAAGAAAAATCCTTATGTCGGAAATTTGTCAGTGGAATTCAATATCCTTTTAGTGGATTGTAAGAAACAAAAGTTTGAAGCCAGCCATGGACACGGTAATTTTGAGTTTTGATATATTCCAAAAATTCCTTTACTATCCGGAATCACATGTCTAGAAGAAATGTCATTTTCAAATTTACAACATTTCCACTTCCACTGTGACAGTGACACTACCAGTAAATACCACAATTGTGTCGAACAAGTTCACAGCTTCTATGACAACCAATTTGTCAGACACCTTACATTTGAAGCTATACCAGAGTGTATGATATATTGACAGCCGTAATTCTGAATTAGGTTGATAACCAACATTAATCTGATAGGTTGATAACCAACATTGCCTGTATCTTGATATATAATAACTTATCATCTAGCAGGCATATCATACATAAAAATGTTACATAATATATATTTAAAGTCACTATTGTGACGGTACATTAGAACTAGACAGAAGTGTGAAGGGCCTGAACGGAACCCCTCGGTTATAATACTTTGTAATAAATACATGTAAATATAATATTATAACGTATCTCCTTCTCTACAGTAGAAATCCTACAACAATATGCTCTTGAGACTAGAATCCAAACAGTTTTCTCTTAATGTACCCAAAATGTTGTTTAGATATCCCGACCTCCTCCAACTATACCTATGGGTATATAATATAAAGCTGGCTGGCTTCGTATACCTAGTTTAATTATGGCAGCGTATTGTTGGAGATACCCAGAATACAGAGTTAATCTAGATAACAATGAGATCGTGGAGTCTTGACTTGTAGAACTTTAGTTAGGGTCCTTACAATGCAGAACTTTACTGTAACTGTTAGTACCTAGTCCATTATTGGAGACAGCATTATATGTGAGTGACGCGTGTACAGCTGTTTCATGACGTGCGATTTACCTGGCATGTTCTAGAAAAGCTAAGGAATTTGAATCATCTCAAAATTAGGCCTTGTTAGACTTACCACGACGTCATTAAAACATTGAAATCAGTGTGCAGACATGGTGAATCCCCAGAAACTACTCCCCTAACTATCACCCATATTTTTGTGTCTTCTTAATTCCAGTTCTCTGTTCACAGGAGCGAGGAACCCCCACCCCCACGGCTCCAGATGAAGTGATATACGATGACGTGAGGACGCGCGGCGCTCCAACAGCTGCTGTCCCAGCTGCTCCTGTTGCTCCTCCTCTACCTCAATACCAGACTATAGCTGTAGCTGCTCCCGCTCCTGTTCCTGGTGAGTTATATAATCTTAAGTTTTTGTTAAGTTTTGGTCTGTTGTTTTTTGTTCAAAATTGTTGGGATAAACTTAGATAATTTCCGTATATAAATAAGATCAAGAATATAATTGATCTTAGGTCTCTATACATTAGTATGTGACATTAGTAAGTGACATTAGTATGTGACATTAGTATGTGACATAAGTATGTGACATTAGTATGTGACATTAGTATGTGACATTAGTATGTGACATTAGTATGTGACATAAGTATGTGACATTAGTATGTGACATTAGTATGTGACATTAGTATGTGACATTAGTATGTGACATTAGTATGTGACATTAGTATGTGACATTAGTATTCAAGGGTAAAGACACATTTTTCTCTGTCCTGTACTTTACAGAAACTCGATTAGTTCCCGCGGGTTATATATACTCAAAACTAAGCTTGCTTGTGGATTGATCGCAGCTGTATTTCTACAGTAAAAAGATTTTTCATAACATTATATATCATATCTTTCACGTTTTGCTAAAATAATACCGCTGTAGCTGCATCACGTACTATAAATAACCTATTCTTAAATACACTGCATTTTACAGTACACTGAATGATGTCAACTGGACTTTTATCTTTACATTTTTACACGTTTTGTTCGACAAACGATAGCCGTCCACCAGACGTTCAAAGAACAGTTTAAACTACAGTGTCAGAACATCATCACAGCGCTGTAATTTTCAGCTAATTTTATTAGCTAGTGTAATTGTAAATAGATGCGATATGCTAATTGATAGGTTAAATATAGTAAGTCTTATAAGTACTGTTTGCAGGTACCAGTCGAACTAAGTTCAAACGATCGTTGTTGAGACGACTACGTACAGACAAACTGACAGACAAACTGACAGACAAACACACTTCTAGACCGACACTAACGGACAGACAAAAACCGACTGATCGATCACACAAATCTACCTCTAACTTAAATCGTATCACAAGTAGACATTATAAGACAAAACATTGGTATTTTGGTTTGTCAAATGACAATGATAAACTAAAAACAGTTCATCGTATGACTGATCCGCCATTAATCGAATATTTTAAGAATAAACATGACTGTTTAACCTGTGACGTCATACCTTATTCTAACTTGGTTAAATTAGGCTTTGTCAAATCCTTTGAACGGTTTTCTAGTGAATGTTCTAATGGTGATATCATTGGACCTTCTCTGAGTGTAGTTACATGTAACGTACCTTCAAAACTAAACAAACAGCCTCATACCCAAAGAAGAGTGAATCCATTACTGCTTTCCATGAAAAGTTCTTCTAAAGATTCCCCATCCTCAACGTTTTGGATCCAACGATCTGATGATGATCTTGATAGTGATTCCTCAGTGACCCTTGTGTTATCAGAAAACACACAAACTGTTGTCAACAGTATCCCATGTGACCAGCGAGTGACGAGATGTTCAGGGGACTCGTTACAGTTTACTGATCATGATGAAAATGGTGTGGTCCTCCCTGGAAATGAAGAGGATGATGGATACGTTTCCTTCTCATATAATCATGATAGTTTTATTCATGATAGACATGGAAATAGTAAAAGAATTGGTAACTGTCTTACCAAATCTACAGAAAGCGAAATCACGGTACTAGAAATTAGGAGTAATGGGAGCTCCCCGAAATCCGCTCCGATTAAAAAAGATATTTCTAAATACAGTTGGTCAACTTCGAATTCACAACCCATTTTGTCACCGAGCCAAATAGCCCAGAACAACAGGCGACTTACCAGAAGGTGGAATGTTGTGAAAACTGATAATAATACTCTTCAATTAAGACTTTCTCAAAAGGAGCACCAGATAGTTCCTAGCGTATGTTCTTCGTATTGTGACCTCAGCTCAAATATGACTGAAGCCATTATTCCCGTATCCGCAGCTAAGAAACAATCGAAGTTGACTCGTCTTAAGTCTATGTTCAGATCCTCAAATTCGGTTGAAAAGAGATCTGCAGAAAATATGATACGGTCTGGATCCACCTGTAGTTCCATACATTCAGCTGTATCCAGTTCTCAAATTGTTTTAAACTCAAAACTGACACGGTCTCTCAAAACATGTCAGAAAAATTCATCCATGTCGACGAGGTTGAAATTGAGTGCGAGAAAAAAGAAAACACTCGATTCTAGTTTGGCTGTTGATCAGCCTCTGAGAAAACAGAGTGATTCATCATCTCAGCTTAGCCTGCCTATTTCGCGCACCAACACTTTGAGGTCACATGGCAGAGTTGTGATGACGTCACCCGAGGAAGATTTGATTGCGAGCTGTTTTTACGAGAAAGAGGACGTCATAACACGATGTTTTACCGTTGATAAACGCTACAAAGATCCTGTATTTCTCAATTTCTAGTGCTATTTAACTTGCTCGATATTGCTCGATGCTTTTTGATAGGACGATTGGTTTGACTCAGTGATTTCAATAAGATGATTATACGCCGACTTGGGAATACTATCAAATCCTCTACTGTAGTTTTTACTTTATTTCCTTCAAAATTGTCCGTTGTTTATCGTACCCTATCAATCTGCAGTCAACAGTTGGCCTTAGTTCGGGCTAGTAATTCAGAAAGTCAAAACTCGAAAGTCTAACGCAACGTATATATAACATGTTAACATACTTCTAAAGTATTACAGCGTCTAATTACCATTTCTAGTGCCCGTACAAGATTTACACATTGTAAAACCCACGTACTGTTCTTCATCTCATCACATTGTGCCGGCTACTTACTGGCTTCTTACTGGTTGCTTACCGGCTACTTACTGGCTTCATTAAACCAACCTTATTCCTTGTTATTCCTTCCGCCATTTCCATGATTGTGTAATTTTGCAATTTGGTTTTTCTCTTCGACCGAACAAAAAGGCGGTTTTATTCCAGATCATGGAACAATTAAAGGAGGAATAAGAGATCTACATCATGCTTATTTGACACATAGTTTCATTACTTTTAATGGAATCTACATTCCTCGGCATGGAATGTAACACACGGGATGAGTTGTTGGTGTGATCATCAGTTACCGGTTGTTGGACAATGTAAACAAGGATCGCCTGTTTAAAGCTTATGCGGTTGGGAAACTATTCTTATCATGAAATAAAGTATGTATCTGTCATGTCACTGTTATAAATCGCTTGTCATAGACCATCTCGTGCTCATATTATGATTAAAATAGCAATCTCGCTCACTCGCTAGTAAATGTAAGTCTAAATTTGTACATGATAATAATGTACTGACTCAACAGTATTGACTTCCTAGTGATAATGTAAGAGGTAATGTAGGGGCAGGCGTGCAGGTTCTTCGGGATGTTATTTTGTACATCAATTTGTATCAAATTTCAACCATAAACCACATTCCGTGGTTGTGTCATAAAACAATACCTTCAGAAGGGTCAAGGGATATTAAATACCTTGTTAAATATAACAAGGTATGTATAGCATACAGTCATGTTGTCGAGAATTTAAAGTGATCTATGACAATATGGTGACTTAACCGTTGTTTGTTGACATGTAATGTCTCTCATTAACCCACTGTCTTCTGGAAAACTCAAGTTTAAAGTATTTAAAGATCTCAGTGCATATCTTGTGAATATCCCGAGCTTAGAATGTACATTCCAACAGCTACATTGTTAGTTTGAATGGTCTATAAATAACACGAAGTGATCTAATTCCAGAACGTAACTTCAAGCATTTATAATAACGGAGTACGGACTAAAACTGTTAATTGATAAGTTGGTAACTTAAACTATTTTTAGCTCACGTTAAAGTAGTAACATACCACAAGGAGAAGTAGACACGACATTCCACATTCGTCAAATGTGATCAGATGTGTTTCACAAAACTAGCTGTCAACATGTAGATAGTGATTTGTAGTAATGTTTTAGTGGGCAGGCGACATAGCAGTGTTTTTCAGATAACGAATACCCAGAGGACGATGATATTTACATGGATATGGACGAGATAGACTCTTGTCCCCCGACTCCCACTCCTCCTCCCTCCACTCCTCCCTCTGTCACCAGCCCCACTACCCCCGCTGAGGACCTCTATCTGAGTCCAGGAGCTGGTCTCTTCGGAGGACCCAAGAGTCCTGGTCTCTCCAGAGTACGCTGCAATACAGGAGATGGTCTCTTTGGGGGTCCCAAGAGTACTGTGGTTACTCATTACAAGAAGAAAAGTCTGAATGCTGGGCCCCTCATTATTGCTCCTCCTGACACCATCCCTGAAGGTAGCTGTCTGCAGATTATACGTGTTAAATGTTACAGATCTTAACGATCTGTTATCCCCTGATCTCTGTTACAAAGAATGTCGTTGTAAATTTATGTAATCTCACTGATCGGACCTTGGGGACTACAACCCTGCTTGAGAAATTGTACCTTGATTACAGTGTATTCCATTCAATCGACTTATATCATGAAAATATCCGACAATCTCGAATGAAGTTTAAATATTTTGACAAACATAATCAGAAAAATGCAAAATCTATATTGTTTGCATTGAGTGGCCCAGAAAAAACCCAACCTCAATCAGTGGCGTAACGTTGCATGTTGGGCGTTGGCGCGCCCCCGCCGAAAAAGTGCCCCCCTATACTATTGGCGCCCCCTCGCCAATGTGTGTCAGGGGCCACGATGTCAATATGACATTATTTGAACAGTTTTACCAATATTTAAATTTCCAACTTGTGACCCTGTTGACACAGTAATAATTGTGGGCCACTCTGTAAATAAATATCATACTCATTAAATGATTTGATACATTATAATTTGACTTGCAAACAAATCTAAGAAATGTCGTTAAATTGTATGATGATTGCATGCTCGATAGTACAATATAAATGTTTACATCTGTTCCCAAGTGTTAGAATAATTCCATTGAGTTTTAGACTTTAATATGCTTTTTAAAGTCTTCCTTAATTTACATGTGTTGCCAAGTTTTACATAATATTATTATACTTTTAGAAAGAGTAAAATTTGTAGGAACAAGCCCTAGTACGTAAAATAAATTATTGGCATTTATATAATTCCCAGACTACGCCCAAGACAGTTGCGCGATAGTACAGGCCCTGTTACGTTATAATATAAAACGTTTGAGTCGATTTCAACACTTTAATACACAAAATATGTTTCGCCGTTCACACCTTACTCGATCGCATTGCAAGTTTTAAGTGTAGTTACATACCGCGTGATGTTTTTTTTAACTCTCCGGAAACGAGAGCTTCCTCGAAAAAAAATTAATCCCTCAGATTAACATTAAAGAGTAAGTTGTGATTGTAACACAATGTGTTCTAATTCTATCCTTACTTCTTTATAGATTTATAGAACGTATTATATTAGAGAACATAGGAAATTATTAGCCGTAATTAGAAGACTATAATTTTCTCTAACGCTACATCGTTACTTGTTCACTCATCGCTATTATGGAGGAATAGCGGCATTTCATGAGGGGATGTTTCTCAGTCAAATCGGTCTGCTTTCTCCTCTTTTCCTTTGAGTCAGACTGCAATCTTCTCCCACCCCTATAATGTCAATCAGCCTGTCTTCTTTTCCGCTCATCAAAATGAAGGTTTCTATTTTGAGTGCTTTTATAATGCCTAATCTGTCTATAATATTCAACTTCAAGCAAAAGATCCAAATTTAAATTCTGAATATAATTTGGAATTAGACGCCGAGTGCTGCGCTCTCCGGCTTGTATTGTCAAACTGCTAATAACTCTTATACCTACCAGAAATACAATAGAAAAGTAGCAAAATGTATTAAAATGTTCCCCGAATATTTCGGAAATTTGGGAGTCAATAATCATGCGTTAATTTGAAAGAGTAAGTTTGTGGTGAAATTTCTGTCTCCATCCCATACTAACTTCTTCATAGATTTGGACGAGATCGAGAACGACAAGGAGAGTACCGGGAACTTGGACAATATTTACTCTGTTCCTTCATTACTTGGGGGGACGTTTATCAGTTCGATAAGTATGCCTCCTCCTTCTTATTCGTCTTATCATCCTTCTCCTCACCCTTCTCCTCCTGTTGCTCCTGCTGCTCCTCCTCCCCCTCCTCCTTCTCCTCCTCCTCCTCCTTCTTCTTCTTCTTCTTCTTCTTCTTATCATCCTTCTCCTCCCCCTCCTCCTCCTCCTCCTGCTGCTCCCCCTCCTCCTCCTCCTCCTCCCCCTCCTCCTCCTCCTTCTCCTCCTCCTCCTCCTCCTCCTTCTTCTTCTTCTTCTTCTTCTTCTTATCATCCTTCTCCTCCCCCTCCTCCTCCTCCTCCTCCTGCTGCTCCCCCTCCTCCTCCTCCTTCTTCTTCTTCTTCTTCTTATCATCCTTCTCCTCCTCCTCCTCCTCCTCCTCCTCCTCCTCCTCCTCCTCCTCCTCCTCCTCCTCCTCCTCCTCCTCCTCCTCCTCCTTCTTCTTCTTCTTATCATCCTTCTCCTCCCCCTCCTCCTCCTCTAAGTTCAGGAAATATGCCACCTCCTCCTCCTCTGGAAGAAGGTTCGTCTTCCTCTCGAGTGTGTCTTCTACAATGAGTGGTCTTTCTTTATCAAACACGCAACAACAATCTATGATAGTAAAACTTATCTATGATATTATATTGATTTAATTGATGCCTGATGGTGATGAATTACTCGGTGGTTTCGCTTTGACCTTAAATACAGAAGGTGATATTTTCTCTGGCCTTGCGTTCGATTCCATTTTTGATCAACTTTGAACTCGTATTTTTGGTTGGTATCATATCTACAAATTTTGTATGGTCTTTACTACTGATAGTCTACCGTGAACTGAGTCAAGTATCTCAGAAAATGTCAAATCAAGAAAATGTGATCCATGATTCAAATTACTGACCATTGATTCGACTTTGGCGTGATTCTACCTGTAATTCTAGATGTACAATATACAATATACAATGTACATTTCATAATATTTATTTGACTTGTGATTCTAGAAATAAATTCCTGAAAATGTATGTCTTGTTCTACAACCTTTCACACGTAAAAATGAAATATAATGATGGCAAATATTGCTATTATATAGGTTGCTAAATAACGAACCCTCGTTTTGTAAATATTTGATTAACTCTAGTGTTACACCCTCATTAGCAGGGGATCTAAATACTACACCCACAATAGTCACATACATTGTATTACACACCCTGTTACCTCATACAGTCATACAGCCTTAGAGTAGATTTCAACACTTGGAAGTCACAGCGGCACTAAATTTAGATGTGCCGTTCACACCTTGTAAACCTGCTCAATATGTGTATGTAATCATACTGCTATTACTACTCAGTACCCATTAACTGTTCATGAACTTTCCGGAATCGGAAATACTAAAAATATTCGACAAATTTGTTGATTATTTTCTAAATATAGTTGAGAAAGTTGCAACGATATTACAATTTCCGAGCACTTGCTAACTCCCTTATAGATTCGGACAGTGAGTTCGACGACGAAGACTATGATGCGGAGGTTGAAGACGACGAGGACATCTATCAAGACGTAGATAATATTTACGATGCTCCTTCGCTACGATGCTCCTCCTTGATGACGTCAGATGAAGTTACCAGTCCGATCAGTCTGCCCTCGCCTCTTTCCACTCCTTTCCGTCCTCTCGAAGAAGGTTCCACCTGTACTAGAGTACTAGAGTGTGTCTTCTAAAATGTCAAAATGTGTGACTTACTCTGATTACTGAGCGTAATGACCGTGATTACTTTCTTCTGTATTAAATGTTAATATCGTCTTCAATTTCTTGTACTTTACTACTAATAATGTAACCTCTCTGTTGTCATGAAGCCCGATCATGCTCAATAATTGTCCTAATCCACTCCACTAAATTTCCAATTCAGTGAGCATGTTCGAGAATAATTATGATGATTAGACTTGCTATGAAAGTAAATGCAACGGATAATTACCCAAATTATGATTCGGGTCCCTGAGAACAATGCTTACTCATGTATGTAATGACCCCATTAAAACAACCATAAATTTACATTCTATAAATAGATTCAGTCTTTGAATCAGATTATTTTACGATGAATTATGTCAACATCTTACTCACCACCACTAAAATCTGGACCATGTCCACATTTTGCAAGCTGCACAAGCTGCAGCAGCGGGTACACTTCATTCTACCCACACACCACAGTCACAAGAAATGAAATTACTCTCAGCGGGAGTGTAGGTGATTTCCTGCATACACGTTACAATACACTCACTCTCCCTGATTGACCATCCTAATTGTACATTCTTTACATGTGGTACAACATATTATTGTGTTGTCATAACAATGCATATAATTATTCGTAATTATGCGGGGAGTTTCCTTCCCGAGTGTATGTGTTGTACCTGTTTTAACGAGAACGTGATATCTTGAGTGACATGTCACTTGTTGTCACTAATCACAGAGTGACATGTCACTTGTTGTCACTTAAATTACAGGTCAGAGAGTTTAGTTTAACTAATTTTCTTGTATTTTATGTCATGTATCGTGTTACCAACGCGATATATATATTACATATTTTGTGTGTAGAGTAAGTGAGATTTTCTTTTTAACAGTATACATACCTTTACTGGATAATGTTGTATGTTTGTAGGGTAATATGCCCAATTACATACAGCTACTACTTATCCAATTTTCTTACGGAAGAAGGGAAAGTGCCGAGAGGGAAAGGCTATATTTTACTACACATTCTTAGTAACCTCATTCACTGCGCAAAGCTGCGTCACAAGACCAAATCAATACCAGACCAAGTCAATACAAAGAAATAATAATCACATAAAAATGATAATTTAATAAATATTTTCAGAAGACGACCTATACATAGATAACGAGCTACTACCACCACCGGCGCCGTCTGACTTACCGCCACCTGACGACTTGCCGTCACCGTTTGACGACGGGGCCCTACCCCCACCACCCCCTGATATACTGCCACCGCCTTACCCTGACGAGGACGAGGAGTTGTATGCTGACATGTACCCTGTGCAAGATGGAGATGATATCTACACTGATAACACTATTGATAATCATGATATGGGTAAGTGGGTTTTAGTGTTCAACTTTTCTAAATGTTCGGGGAAGTTTTTTTCTAAAAACAGCACGTGGTACAGCACGTGGTATTACGTCACAACACGTGGTACAGCCTTCTTTTGAATGCCCCTTGTTTAGCCGTTCTGTTAGCCGCCAATCTAGTATATTATTGGTCTGTGTATATTATGGTGGACCATGAAAACAGTTAACTTAAATATTATGTTAAATGTATTAGACATAACATCTCGAATATTATGTTAAGTATGTTAAATATGTTTAAACTTTACTAAAATCAGTAGAAGAGCCGTTGTATGAGGATTTGAGTACCTTGACATCATCTGAAACTGGTAAGACTTGCCATGTTAACCTCTAGCTCTCTAGCTCAGCGTGTTTTCAATACTGCCACTCTTTAGTGCCACTCTTTACTCTTTAGTGCCACTCTTTAACATGTACATCCTATTTGCACGGTTTTCTGCAATGTCATGAAAATTCTTGTACTGCTATTGCTGCTCAATCCAATTTATGATTATTACAGACATAATATGCGAAATTCTTGGTATCGGGGTAATTGAATGCTTATTTCTTAGAATTGGGCTCAGAATTTTACATTGGTTGATTTAATGCGATGCAAATGTACACTAACTATTGTTGATGCTTGATTTAGTTACTCAAAAATATTTGCTGGATGATGATGATCTGTTAATGATGAAATGACCTACCCATAATATGTGACTTGATGATCAAATGAAATACGAATCACACAAAGAATGCAAAATATTTCTTATATTACATTAGATGCATCTAGTTCAATTTTAAATGTAACTTCAGGAAAATACGCGCATTAGTCGTTAACTCCGCCGATCCTTGGCCGGATCTATTTAAATAGCGCACATTATTAACAACACACCTTTCCAAAAATCTGAGAAGGCTAATATTGCTGGGATATCGGAATGCGGTGTGCCGTGTAGGTCATAGAGGAGCACTTTGTAATATCATTAACATTATATTTTATTGGTATCGTATTACAGGTTGCTATTACGAACTTAGAACTTGTTTGTATTAAATACACTCTTTTCCCCTGTGAATGTACTATGTGGCCCCATTACACCATTACACGCTCCACTACCGCCCTAAATAGGGCTCTCACAGGCCTCATCACTGGATCGGCCTCTATTTTTTAGATACAAAACATCTTTAAAATTACCCTGGAAAAGTTTTCACGCAACACTCTTATATACATTTCTTATCATGCACTTATCGGTGGAACCGGAACTTGTGTTAAAATGTCTATGTTATATCGGCGTTCTTCATAATTTGACGATGTAACGAGGTACAATGTCTCTCACGGTAAATATTATTGTAAGCGTGTAGCGGGTTGCCATGTACTACTGCAACGTTCGCGTTGCGGGTTGCCATGTACTACTGTAACATATTGTCCACTTTATTCTTCGAAAATACAAAACAGACTACACTCACAATTCACATCTTACTCAAGCAACACTTTCAACTGTGCGACTTTCGGGGCGTGCTTACTTCACTGATCAACGCGGAATAACGTGTAGAATTTTACACCAATTATTCCGTCGAATTAGACAGTATCTTCTCCACAGAGTATACAACCTTGCTCACCCTCGCATGTACTCTGGGAGGTATTGATACAGGAGAGCATATCTTGTTAAAACTGGACTCAATAGAAGTGCACCAAGTTATATGTCATCCTGATGTACGCACAGGGCTTTACAGTGTTCAATGTATCTTGTTATTGTATCTAGACTTCATTCTCAGTTCGAAGATAACCACCGGGTCAAATTACCTTAGCTTGTTATAAAGTTGGTGTAACTTCTGTACACGTGATAACGTTAATTCAAGATTAATTATTTATAACGTTTTAAAGGCAATGACGTAATATCGGGTATAATGGTATTCATAGTAATTCTCAGTATATCCTGGAATCTGAAGAATCCCAGTTATTCTTCCAAAGGATCCGCTGGTATGAAATGGAAGCGCACACTTGAGTCGGAGCACAGGTGCACTCACTTTGTATAGAATCATTATTCATTACTCGCACCTGGTCCTGTCCGGCCAGCTCCATGGATCAAACCTAACTATGTAACCATTTTATTTACAATACAATGTTGTAACTTCTAGCTTATTCAATAACACTGTAACTTATGCCACGTTTATTTTACTACAGGCTATAGTGGGCTATAGGGGTAATGAGCACTTTTGTCTTCTTGAACCTAATAAATAATTAATAAAACAAAAGTGAATAAAATAAGAGTTACATTTTACGGTCAGTCAGAACAAAGGTTTATTATGATGAATAATCACACTTCATGTTCTGTACAGGGAGTAACTGAAATAAATATAACTTGGAATGGGAGCAGTGGCAAGAAACTGTGCTGGTTTTAAAACTTTTAAACTTGAGGATAACCAACAACACAAAACTGATCCCATCATTCACTAAGATTTGATCACTTGGCGATGTAATTGTTAGAATCCAAGGAGGAATACGTAAAAACGAGTTGCTTAATATCAATAAATCAAGCAAATTGACGCAATTTATTTAAACAGTATTATATACGAACTTTAAAGAAACAAATAATGTAACATTGTATGACCCTACCTGTTATAATTCCATGTTAGTGTTTAAGGTTTCATTATTCCTTATTCCAGCATGTTTTATTTATTTTTCGAGGTTAACTGTTTAACTTAACCTTGAAGCAATATTCAGTTCTGCAGCTGCGCTCTGTGAAACCGCTCTACACTGCAACCCTCACGCTGCGATCCTCTCTGCTACACAATATTAAAATGTTTTGAAATGAGTCTTATCAGATTAGATTAAAAAGAGCTTCGAAGCTGATATGTAATGTGATTTGTTATCCTGCAGTTAACACACATACCGTGTCCGTTTCTAAAGATAGTGGATTTTACACAGAGGATCAGGAAGAAGAGGATCCTGTAATAGAGAAAGGTATGAAGTTATTCCAACTGTTTAATGAAATTTTTAACAAATCTGTCAGATAAACCTCATCTGAGTTCTCAAATAGCTTCCTTAGATGTACATATCACCTTAGTTCTCGCCTCATCGAGTTATTGCACCATTTCTGTGTTTGTTACAGCTGACTGTTTGGTAGAATAGAGACTAATTAATTATCTGCAAACCATGTCACGTGGTATCTCCTGTTGTTTACACTCTATCTTATCACATTACCACCTGTAACTGTAACAAGTGTTGCCGACCTGTAACAAGTGCAATGCAATCATAGCTATTATCACCTGCAACTGTGGAGTTGTATGTGTTTTACTGCTGAGGAGGAGGCGAAACTTTTATGTTTCGCTTCTTTTTTAATCGTTTTTTTCTCTGGTGCTGACAGTATCGATATGTTTCCCTATACTCTACCCTACATGAATGTGGAATGTAATTAACGACTATGTATAAGTCCGTAGGATATTTTTGAGCCCTGACAAACGTTTTAACTTTCAAAAATTGACTGTAGTCATAAATATAATCCATAATTCTCTCAGTTCAAGTGATATTCCCGTATGCAGCGACAGCGTCAGATGAACTGAACTTAAATCCAGGAGATATTGTATCTGTGCACGTGAAAAACCCCGACGGTTGGTATGAGGGAAGTCTGAATGGAGTAAGAGGACTTTTCCCTGGTAACTATGTGGAATCTGCGGAGTGATCGGAATTTTGGGCCGTAAGGCATGTCTGGTCATGTTGCCGTGGAGTTTTTGGTGAAATTGAGATTGAGTTTCGTTTTTAATATGATCGATAGAGCTCCGAAACTTATTTAGGTAGTGCACTATTTTTAGATTAATGTTGATGGGAGTTGAAACCTTTTGTATTTTGGTATTTTAATAGATATAGAAATTGATGAAAAATATAAATAAGTTTTTACCTGTTTTTACATATAAAGTGGATGTGTAAACACGGACAATATGAACTCTAAAACTGTTCATTACAACATTGTGAATAGCCTCTCAAATAAGACAATTTCGATATCACGAACTATCATTGTATGCATTTGTAATTTAAAGTTATCCCTCCTTGATGTGTGTACAACATCTGACTGTTGCACAAAATCTTGAATCTTTCGAAAAATTTGACTTTGAATTTGATGATTTTGGTAATTCAGATCTTGTATTTTGATTAATTTTAAACATTTTTATTACAAATGTAAGACAAAGTTTTATTTTCATAATAAATTGATTGAAGCCTTATGTATATGATTTTTCTGTAACTGTTTGCTTTCTTTGGTTCAGTTTGCTTTCCTTAATTTCAAAAAGCCTTAAAGGTGAAGGTATTTTAATGGAACGCGCGAACTCTAATTATGTATTGAAAGTAAGGCCTTTTTGGCGCCCACGTGAATATAATATTTTAATTAACTTTATTATGTTCACGGAAATAATATATTATGTACAATTACAAATCAACCAAGCGGCCGACCCACTTTGAATCTGATCAGCTTGACCGGTCTGGATAAACTACCTACCTATTGAACCTATTGAGAAGCTAAGCTGACCTTCATACAGGAAGGTGCTGGATAAACATCCATGGACCAGGATTGGCCCATAATTTATAAAGGTGTATTTACACACAACACATGATATGAGGGACTTCTACATTCCAACCTGGCTCTACTTGTATCGATCCGGAGGTCGTATTTTATTGAAATCGAAAAAATGCTGAACTGTGAGACAAGGTAATACGTAACATGGAGTATTGGCCATTGGGGTCGTCTACTATTATGTCATCACTTTTTGGTTAATTTTCAACGTAAGTCGCAACGTAAGTGAGATTGATCTACACATTATCTGAGATCGATTTATGGGAGGGGGTTTAAAAATTGTCCAAAAAGTGATTACGTAATATGTGAATGACCCCTATTATATGTGGACTACTGAGTTTCACCAACCTCGCTCCCGCAATTCTCGATATTGTTGCACGAAAATTTCAGAACTGCAAGTTGACTCGAATGTCAATGGATGCGCAAGTTGACTCAAAAAGTGGTAGAATTATCTTAAATTGACAATCAACCATGAATATCTATGATATTGGTGAATATCTATGATATTGGTTAAAGCATGTGCAATGTGACGTGCTGGAATTGGTCATGGTCTATTCGCTATTATGGATAACGCCTTGCGTGTTGTAAAATAAAGTACATAGCCTGCAGGTGAGTCACATCTCGAAGGACACCTTTGTCCACTGTCTTATCTAGTTTAGGGGATTGTTCACATATTACATATACGTTGTACGGCTTCGCATGCCACAAGCACCGTTCCCAGTAACAACTATAAAACTTTAACAGTTCCGCCGGCCCGACTACGATAAAGATGGTGGGTGACATTATGTAATCACTTTTGGCCGATTTAAAAACCCCCTCCGTAATCAGTTTTACACGTAGCTGTGGTGTTACACTAGCGTAATTATTTAGAAACCCCTCCGTGATTAATCGGACGACTCCTAACAGATACAATAAAACCATGGGTGGCTTAGTGGTTAGATGTTAGAGCTGTGTACAAGGTTCAGGGTTCGAATCCCAGTGTCACTCAATCTAGAGAGTGTAATTTTTATAGTTAACAGTTAAGGATTCATTGGATATATGCGATCTCCTCGGTCGACTCAGCCGTTAAGCCGTATAATAGGATACTTGATTGAGGGTTAAATTAGGAGGGGTGCGTGCCAAAAAGATCAAGAATCTTATTACGATAATCCTTCAGAACATCTACATTGTAGTGTACTGTAAACAAGGGCGGTCGAACTATTCGATTATTTTTTACGAACTTAACAAATTTTTTTAAAATTTAGTGGGAACTCTACTAATTTAATGACAAATCATAAAATTACGGATCGTGAAGAAAAGCCAAGCTATACTTAATGATCTGATCGATGCAATACCCATAATATGTGCATGATATTATCGGTCGATCCATTGGACGTTCGAAAGAGGGATGGAATAGGCAATTTGAAAGCACCATCTATGATTGATTCAAGTTGGGAATTCAACACGTAGAAGTGTTAGTTCCCTTCTTCACTTAAAATAATCTTCAATGGAAAGGGTTCTCGACCGATGATGTCAAATATGAGTTAGATTTACTTCGTAGTTTCACTAGAGCACTCTCGCTAGTTCGACATATATATTATATATGATATAATATATATACGTTCGTTAAATTACGTACATATATGTATGCGCGCGATATGCATAATATTATATATCGCGCGCGCTAGTTTGAGCAAAACAGTAGTGCAGTTATCGGCAACTCAGGAAAATCGCGTGTTCCTGTCATGAAACTTCCTCAGAAACCGAGTTGGAGTTACGTTGCACAACGCTGTGGAATTTACTAATTACATCTAATGGCCTGGGGCAGCGTCATTAATAGCAATGTCTGAAGGTGTCTTGGCAGTTCTTATAAACCCTCTAACTTGACAACATTCCAACATAGCATGCCTGACTGGCCGAGATTTAATCAAATTACAAACTTGTTATTTGTAACACGGGACAAGAAGAACTCTAGTACAGCTCTTCAAACTTAACATTCGGTAGACAGGCGATTTAGGACATCTAGACATCCATCACAGTGGCAATTACAAATCAGAAATTATGGATGAAAAATAATGATTACAACTCGCTTAAACATAACTTACAAAATTTCACCCAAACAGTTGCACATTTAACAGTTCATATCAAGTTAATTAGTATTCATATAATCAATCTCTCTAAATAATAATTTATCAAATACTCTCTTTGCCAGCAAATATAGCTATTGTTTATCTTATTATTAAAATCGGCAAGCAAGTACAAATTACTACAAGATTTGAGAAATGATTAAATAGTTAAAGTAAGGTCAAATTTAACGAAATGTCATGCTAAATCAGTCGAAATGAAAAAAAAAGAGCAAATTAATTATTAAATATTTTGATGGCATCAAATTGAAAAAAATAAATTCATTACGAAGTACCAGTTTTATTTGACGAAAGTATCAACCAGAATCTTCGGCTCCATAGCGAACATTTTCTCTGTTACGTTCAATTAAACGGTGCACACATCGCCGTTACAAAACATCTCATTGAATTTTTCGGAAACTTGATATGCCACAGCCACTGGCCACAGTCGATTAGTTCGTGTATTTCTCAACTTGTGATAAACAGCGATTACTCGTGGTTTATTCACGCAAATAACATTCTATTTTATAAAACTGCTAGTTTAGGACTAGTTTAAATGACTCGGTTTCGGAATTTGTACAGAAGGTTTTACACCTTCAGATCTGTCAATGTTTAATCTTTTAATGTAACTCATGGAGACTTTCATAGAAAAATGAATTTTTTTCTGAAAAATCATATCGGCCGTTTACGAAATCAACTTTATATTAAGAGGCTTTAAGAAATTCAATAATTAAAGTAATCTATCCCAGAAGTGAAAAACTAAACACATGCTTCAAACCAAATCACGTACTCTCATAATATTAAGTTTTCTAGTTAAACGTAAATTAAAGTAAAAGATAGCAAGTAATAAACTATAAACAGCAACAACTTTGAGTCTTCGTAACGTTGAATTTTTGCGAAAACATCGACATTACCACTCGACTTTTATATAATGTAATATTTACATTCCAGTCCCGATAATCGGAAAGTCCCAGACCTCCAGTCACGTGATGCCCATATAAGGTAACAGTCCCCGCAGGTTATATGGATCACGTGATACCCCTATATTCTGCTATTTTCTACAGACATCAATAGTCGTTAAATAATGTTCATCTAGAATCTAGTACATGAGACCCTGTTAGTTGTAGTACTCCTTAACACGTGATATTACAGCGAGATGTAGTTCAGGAATATTTCAGTGGTATCTTACGGAACACAGGACGGTGTTCATGATTCCCATCATCATGATCGGAATCATGGAACACAAGGAATAAAATCAAAACTCAATTTTACCCGGTAGGAGGGCGGCTGAAGAGGACACAATTTCCCGATAAAAACATGGACCACAATTATATAAGTGTACTCAAGTGCACGATATTGGGACACCCAGTCAACAAATCTCACCATTTCATTGCATAGACTAGGAGTACACTAACCAGTAACCTCATGTACTAGAGACCATGTAACGACTTATCAGGCAACATTTCCTGATTTACTCTGAGCGATAGGATCAAGTTCAGAAAACAGATTTAGCCAGGCGTTAAACTGCTGTGGTTGCATTTGCTGTTTGTTTGGAATGTTCTGTTTTCCTGTTTCGGTGCCCTCTGTTTCAAGGCCGCTGCCACCTGGTTCTTCTGATTCTCCTGCCATTAAAAGGTCCGGCTGCTTGTCATCCAACCCTGGGATATTTTCACATAAACAAATTTATATACAGGGTGGGCCAAAAGTCAGTACCCATACGTTGGCCTTAATAGCTCCGCCGTGTTTTATATTTGAGAGCTGTTGCTTTGCAGATGGCATACTGTATTTACTGGTTCGAGGATTCCGTCGTCAAAATTTGAAAATTCGAATATTTTAGACCACGCCCATTCAATATTAAAACACCTATATTGTTTTCTCTGAACATGCTGAACGCCTAATTTTTTCAGAGACGGTAGATTATCAAATGTTGCATATGATCTGAAAACATGAGGCAAAACGGATTAGAAATGGCGAAGTTATCAAGCATTTTCTGTATCTCGTTAACACAATTGACTGGGTGATTATGTGACACCGTGACACGACACCTTAATTGGGCACCCTTAACAATTCCCATAATGTTTAACGGGGTAGTTAACGGGGTCACCTTATCACGTGATTAGGTAAACCAATCACCTGATCACACGTAATGAATAAACTCGTTATGCTTCATATCTCGGTCATCTGAGAATCTACAGTTCTAATTCTTTCAGGACAAACGTAATTCGAATGGCCAGACACAATTAAATAACATTTACCTTGATCCGACTATCCAAACTATCAAATAAATGTGAAAATGAACCTCCATTTGAAAAAAATGAACGCGAATATTTTTCGAGTTGACAAATTCCTCGAACCAGTGGTGGTACTAAGTCATACCAGAAAGAAGTATTTAAATTGGGCACTCAGTGACTGACCTATAAAGGCCAACGTATGGGTACTGACTTTTGGCCCACCCTGTAGTTATAATATTACTAAGGTTATCTAGGATGTAAGAGTGACTAGTGAAATAGCTTTTCTAGTGTTGTTGCGGCACCTTAGATACAAAAGGGTCATTTCCATTTGACAAACTGTGCAAGCTTCAAAGATGAGAAAAAGTGAAAAGTAATCTAGCAATGTGAAGTTAAGATTATCCGGAAAATAAGTACTGTAAAACTAAAAAACAGAAAAAAAGGAAGACATCTTATTTTTTAAATTACCAGTATCAAGATTAGCGAGTGCAGCACTGAGTTGCAGCATGTCCTGATCAGTAGCTGGAGCTGATAACAAATCGTTATCAGATTGGGTGAGAAGGTCGTTCATCATGGCCCAGTCTAATGTTTCTTCAGGGTTCTCCCCCGACGGGTCCTGCCACAGTTTTACATGTTAGTTTTAGCCGTCACTTGGGATGAAATTTACATACAATCTTTCAGAGCTGAGAGGCGCTAAAAATTGTTAGTGGCATTTTGCAGTGTCATAAATTGCTAGTCTTTCTCTTTGTTTATCCACAGTTTAAATGGGATAAATTATGATTTTTGTTTTTACAAAAAGGATCAATCCTCTCCTAAAAATCCCACAAACCTGATTTTGTAGGTTAGCGAACCAGTCAACTCCTTCTGGAATGTTAGGGACAGGGTCAGATTGAGAAGAGTGGTCTCCAACTAGACCTCCTGCCATCGCCCCTTCTGTGTCGTCTTCGTCGTCATCGTCGCCGTCTGCGTCCACCAATCCTAAGCCTGCAAATCTACTTTTAACGAAATAGAACGGTTTATTGTAGTCAAATTTTTGAGTCAAGATTTACTACAGTCTAGACACGTACGACTTATTTACTACTGTAATTTATATCATTATATTTCAAATTGTGTATAGCTTTAATATAATAGCTTCGTCAGAATCTGGTCAGGGAATTGAAAAATACTGATCCCACTCATATTACCCAACATCCTTAGCAAAATCTTCTAGAGATCCAAACTAAATGTGACTGTGTCTAACAAATTAATTTGGTGTCGCTCACTCCGAGCTAGTTATTACATATTGTTGGATATGTTTATTGGATATTATCAATCTGACCTTGTCTAACCCGTGGTTTCCAATATAACCTATTCAATCTGACCACTACCCAAGAGCATTATATCTCACTTCAGAAACTTCAAACTAACTGATGCCAAAAAAACCCAAAACTAGAATTACATGATAATAATATATCAATTAGTAGTCAGAGTGATACATCAACTACCTTATCGGACCTTATTTGGACGGACATTACTTGAACGCTGGAGGCCCTAGCGTTCATCTTAATGTCCGTTCAAATAAAGTCCGTTCAATTAATGTCCGTCCAAGTTAAAGTCCGTTGAAATTTTTCAAAAATTTTTTCATTTCGAACTTTTTGTCCAGAATATGACAACTTTGAGAACTTTATTGTGCCGTAAGTTAACGATGGAAAGGTTCTCCTTGGTCTGCCGGAGGCACAGAAAACTCTACTAGTATATGATATTTTCAAGGGTCACTTGGCGGAAAAAAGTCAACGAAATTATGGCACTCAACAACATAGTTCATGAACTAGTCCCCGCCAACATGACAAACTTGTTCCAGCCTCTAGATATTACGGTAAATCGTGTTTCCAAGGACATTGTCCGACGTTGTTATAGTTCATATTACTCGGGGGCGGTCATGAAACAGTGCTAGGAAAGCTCCACGTGATGTTAAGGTTAACCTAAGTTGTCTAAGATAAAACCACTTCACGCCGAATGGCTTGTAAAAGTTAACACTGAAATACTGGACCGGGGTAGTTTGATAAAAAAGGTTTCCATAAAGCTAGAAATCACTGATGCTTTAAGCATGGACTATTTCATGCACGAAAACCCATTTGATGAAGATGATATGTGATATTAGACACTGATCATGTACACATATTTTAACATTTTTACTGCTCAATGACTGCTTTTCTCACTTACTGTATAAAAATGGATTTAAAAATCATTTGCTGAAATTTAAAAAACGTCAAAAAAATTGAAAAAATTCGGATTTTTGATGGTTTTGAATGCCTTCGAGCGTTCATATTAATGTCCGTTCATAATTATGTCTGTTCATGTAATGTCCGTCCAAATAAGGTCCGATAAGGTAGAACTATCAATATGAATTATCTGCTATATTCTACGAACCTATCAGGTCTAGCTCTGCATCTTCAGGCATGCTGGTCACAGGAGATAACCGTCCAAATATATCGTCCAATGTCTCCGTCTGAAAGCAAGAAGTAATGTAAATTACAACCGTCGTTTTTAACACTATTAACAAAATCGATTCACAACCCTTCACCCTACATGTTTAGATCTTTATTTATCTTAATTACTTCACGCTCACTGAGTGGTCAGTGGCATAGCTTTTGCTGTAAAACTGTTTGCTAGTTTTGTAATTTGTTATACATACTGGGGGTGATGTGTCACACCCACTGTAATCTGGGCCACCCTATATAAATACCATTTATCGTTCAATGTCCAAATAACTACTCAAATTCAAACAATTTAAAGCTCTCCAAGTCTGCAAAGAGATAGCAAAGTTCAACTATTCCCTTAAACTGCAACTAAAGCATGATTTACACAATATAATTTAATTGTATCCCACATTAACACATATTGAGCATGGTTATACAATAAGCTTAAGGGCTACCATAACTTATATATTTTGCGTTATATAATATATAACTGCTACATGAGTCATGAGAGTTACTTAATCATAATATTCATTATATTTATATTTGATAAGTATACATAATAAATATGTATATTATATTTTACATAATATATTCATATTATATGATGTATAATCATTGTTATGTTCTTTATCTTGAGGTTTCAAAAGAATCTGGAGAGGTGCCAAACTGAACTGAATGAAAAGCACGGCGTAATATATAACCTCAAATCTCAATCCAAAACACCCGTTTAAAGGTTTAAGTAGAAGGGTGCAAAACGGAAAACCTCAGTTTTGTCATTTGAGATGTTACACTTCCAAAATGTTCCTTAATATCCTTAATATAAAGCAACTAGTGTAACCCGTGCCTACGGCCGGGACTTCACTATCGCAGTTGAAATGCAAAAGTATAAACCCGCCTATTATATTCGAAAACATGCATTACATTTTCGTAGTTAAACCGGTACGAAAGTGTGAAGTCACTCAGTCCAAACAGACCGCAATTTAATTCTGAGTGCCCCTCACGTATCTAATAGTAATACTTATAATAATAATAATAATAACGCTTTATTTGTATACCGCTTAGGCCGTATAAGCGACCAAAGTCCAAAAAATGGAGTTGATACTGGCCAACAAAGCGGTGCAGATAAATATAGCTTAGTAGTCCCTTTTCTAATAAAAATTCAAATTTATAAATTGTAGATTGATATGGAATCTTGAGGTCTACTGTCAAATTACCTAATTATATAGCAAATCTGTTATAATAAATAATAATAAAATTTGGTAGCTTAAACACAAACTCTAAGCCCAGTGGATAAACCACAAAACTTATGCTCTATTGTGTGAAACAAAGATACTAGATCAAGATAACTATCAAGGAGTGTATGCATAGGACATAAAAAGTTTTGGAACGAAGATGACATGCTTGTGAAGCGAGCTAACAGTCTAATTGCTAATAAGTTCAAAAAGATCATGACATTAGGTTGCATCCTAAACAGTTTAAGCAAATAACATAAAGTTATTATATTGTCGATTAATCGCTCATGCCATAACTTTTCTTAAACAGGTGAGTTTTTAATAATGTTTTGAACAGATCAACATTGGAACAAGTCTTAATTTCAATTGGTAGTTGGTTCCAGATTTTCGGAGCAACAGTCTGAAACGCTCTTGGGTGTGATCTTGTAGATCCGACGGGTAGGTGTAAGGAGGAAGTTCTTCTGCTACTCGAACTAACAAATGTTACTAGATCACACAGATATGCAGGAGCAACACCATTGACTGCTTTGAAAATCAGTAAGCATAACTTAAACTCAATCCTCTCCTTCACCTTGAGCCAATGAAGGGATTTGAGCTTCTCCTCGACTGAGTCTCTCTTCTTTAATCCAAAAACCAGACGGCATGCTCGGTTCTGAATGTTCTGCAGCTGCGTAATTGAGGCTTGACTACAACCATAGTAAAGTGCATTGCAGTAGTCAAGCGATGAGATTACAATTGCTTGAGTCAGTGTTCCCATCTGTTTGGTTGTGAGGAATGTTTTCATCTTAGCAAGGTCTCTTAGTTTCAGAAAACACGATGTTTTAAGTTGCTTGATTTGCTCACCAAAGTTTAGTTGAGAGTCGAGAGAGAGCGAGAGTGGGAAAGAGGGCGAGTACTTGAGACACATAAGTATCACAAAATAATCAATTAAATCACTGACCACCGGCCGATTTAATAAACCTTAATCATTTGGCTTGGTCAGAGTTTTTTCGGCACTAATACCATACCGAAAAAACCAGTCCCATAACTATAGATTATAGTCATAATATAATTATAATAATAATTAATAATCATAATTAAATACCTGTTCAAACACATTGTCTGATGGCTTAGGTTCAGCTGTCTCAAAGTCCCCGAAATCATCATGCAGGTTTACCAGCTCCTCGTCGTCATCCGAAAAGTTTGACTGGTGTTGGAGATCCTTCAGTTTGGGTGGCTGAGCGGCATCGTCAGAGGTTTTACTATCTTCTCCGTTCTCTTCCAACGCTGAGACAGTGGAGTATTAGTCAAACATGAAACTTGTTAAGTGGTGACCAACTTGTGAATTTTAAGAATGTAGTGATTTTCTTTGAAAATTAACCTGACACAGTGTAGATCAGTTTCTTTGTAAACTAACTGTTTCCCACACACTAAGATCAATGACCTATTATTACGGAGTTAACAATTAAAGTACAAGAACAGCACTTGCCCCAAAATTACCTCGTTTAAAATACCGCGTGATTTCCTCCTATACCCCTCCTAGAATATAAGATGACAACAATGTACTCTAAATGTACTCATACATTACACGTCGTGACAACAATGTACTTTAAATGTACTCATACATTACACGTCGTGACAACAATGTACTCTAAATGTACTCTAAAATTACACGTAACAACAATGTACTCTAAATGTACTCTAGATTATACACGCACATTCTAATTAAAACAAGTAGCTTTCACCTCTGAATGTGGTTAACCAGAATGTACAAAATGTACACAACACAGAGCTGCAGCCGACAGTGTGAATTGAGGTCCATAATTTGAATATTTCCATGTGAAAACAAAGACTAGTGAGAGTAGTGTACTGGTTAACTGTAATACACGGATACAGTTATTACAGGTTGATCACTACGCACTGTGTATAATATAGCGGGTTATGAGTCGCACGGGGCTGTGTAAGGTAGACGTTGCTATGTTTCGGTTACTAAATATTACGTAGGAGCAAGTATTATAGGGGACCGACTGACGTGATGTATGAAGAACGGAAGGCCGCTTTGTTGAGGTAAATAGCACGTAAAATTGTGGATCGGAATTCGCATAGTACATTTCAAGTACATATCAAATTTTAAATTTCAATTCTTGATTTGATGAAGGGTCAGATTGGTTGTGACCGGTTTAAAGAATTTAGTTCGCTGCAAATTGGGGTCCCAAAATAGCGGAAATTCAAAATTGGCCTATCAGACGAGATTAGCATTCGAGTCGAAGCATTGACAGTAAAGAAAACAGTTGAACGACAACTTGATTAGTTGATTTAATGATAGTTTCCGATGAAGCACAACTGTAACTGTCAGCCGCCAGGACCCGTTAATACACAAAATAACCCAATTTTGTCAGATAAGAAGCAATGTGCAAAAGGATCACACCATCATGAAAATATGTATATAATATGTAGTATGTTTTGTTGTTGGATTTATCCAGTGACAGAGTGCCCGGCGCTGAGGGAGCAGGATACCAAGTTAAACTACGGTTCATGTAAACACTATCTGCAGTGTTAATACCTACTAATACTACTCCCTGGTACAAACTTGAAACTTCGTCCTAAAATGTTCCTAAAATATTCCTAAAGGTTCTAGAATGGCACGAAACTTTTGGTATGTTAAACTGTTGTTTTACTTTACATAAAATCGTATGTATAATAATGGAGAAACCGATTGTGTTCATCACAGTCACATGTCTTACGGACTACGGTGATGGTATTTCAAGATTATGTAATTAACAGGACACCTTCCCATCCAAGGAATGGAGTTAATAATGTTGGAGCACAACATGTTACGATATATCTGCAAAGCTCTCCGCAAGCAATCGAATGCTGTCACGTGGAGGAAAAATAAAAGCTTTGCGACTGCCATAAATTGTAAATTTTAATCAAACAGCTTGCGGGAACATGTTCGAGCTTTTCCCAGTAATCAATCCACACTCCATTAGTTCCCGCAACATTGTCACGAGTTATAAGAACAATATTGTCACGGGTTATAAGAGCAATAAAGAGTAAATTGAACTTAAAAGTGTTCGCTTATCGATATTAAATATTTAAGAGCGTCTATTACGATATTACAAATTTATCATTTTGGCGTCAACTGTAAAATAAAATAATTTAACTTTACAATTGTTAATTTGTCATCCTCCATTGTCATAAGAGAGCGGAAAAAACGGGACACGATCATTTATATAATCAAGCAACAATTGAAACACTAAATAACTTAAGCTGTTGTCAACTACCAGGTATTTTATATATACCTCAACTATCACTCAACACTGTACTCATCAAACTCATTAAACCCGAGACTGACAAGAAGCAAATTTAGATGTACAGGCTACGCGCTGAAATTTAACGAACCCAATTCCCTTGAGGATACTTTCTGATTAGCTTACAGCACTTTGCCTGATTCAGTATACATTTAAATGAAATTTTATGTACTGTGCAGTGTGCAGTGTTAGCACAATAACTTGTACATTTTAATAACGATACTAGTCAGGATCTAAAAGTCTAATGAAGTTGCGATTGCACTAAACTTATTATTGGCGGTTCACGAAAAAAATGAGCGAGAAACGAATATTCAAAAGGTCCTTTATTAGGGTCCTATGACGGTCCTATAACATTAATAGCGGCTAAAAATAATAGACCATATAATAAACCAGATGTACAGTACAACACCAGAGTATCAATGTACCTTGGTCGGAGTAGCTAGCAGAGCTGAGCAGTTTTGTTGATTTCTTTGAGGGGTTGTGTGCGTCTATTTCTGCCTCAAGGTCAGCTATTCGTTTCTCTTCTATTTTAACGTCTAACCTCTCTTTTGCAGCAACTACCTAAATACCACAAATTTTATAAAGGAACTGTTTTCTCAAAAAACAAGGATTTGTCACGAAGAGAGGGTGGAAGGTTTCATAGAAACCATAGTAAAATAACTTAAATAAATAAAAACAAGTTTGAATCCATCTAAACTCTACAGTCGTTAAATTTACTTTGATTGTGAAACAATAGAAAATATCCTGTGAGGCGTACCTCTTGCAGAGCCTTGATTGATGATCGAAGGTACTTCTGAGTTGCGATGTGATATTCCTCCAATCGAGCCGATAAGAGATTAACACGTGACGCAGCTAGAATCTCAATCTTCTGGATCGTGTTGTCCTTCATCCTTGCAAACTCAACTCGCTTCTCCCGTGTCAGAGACTGAACCTGAGCGGGGGAACGGTTACACTTGTCAACAAGTAAACGTAGATAATATCTCATGTCAAAAGATTGTCGAGAGTCGAGACATTTACAATAATATAAACGATTATTGACCAACGCCCATGTCTCCCAGATTTGAAATAAGTGGTTTTGTGGAATAAAATATTATATCCACTGGCTTGATATCAAAAAGATAAATCTGTTATTGGAATGGCCCCTGGGCCCTGACTATCTACAGGAAATGTTTTATCAGTAGAAATTAGTACCTAGTTTTACCCAGCTTGAATGAATCCGACTAACCTTCCTGAATTTCTCCAACTGTTCTCTATCCTCGGGGTTCAGCTCCTGACTGATGTTATCTAGCCACAGCAGAGACGCGCGGAACTCTGTTCTAAACTGTTCCATCCGGTCAACAGTGAAACTGCAGTCCTGAACTGCTTTCTGTTGGAACACTCCAAGGTCCTAAGGGTGGTAGGTATCACGTGGTATGTACTGTGTATCACGTGGCATGAACTGTGTATCACGTGACATGTATTTATCTGGTAACCATGAGTAGTTTAGGAAGACTTAGATTATGTTTGAATTATGAGACAATTTATGTAACTCGTCAATTCTAATGACCCTATATTGGCTAAGAGTTATTGGACAGTTCTGTCACGCTGATTGTTGTATTTATTGGATCTCTGCTACAACCTTATTAGTTCACTACTAACACGTGTCTAAGACCCAGATAGAGTGATAGACGGCACGTAACGCATCTCTAATCGATTACGTAGTCACGCGTTACGTGCCGCCTAGCTGGGGTCTTAATAATTTAGCATCACATCAGACAGGTTTATTGCAAAGGTTATTAGTTGTTAAGTGCTGCTCTCAGATTTCACTATCCATTGCAATCACGGTTGATTACTAAAATGTTACTTCAAATATACTGAATACAATAGAAATAGTAAATTTATATCACTAAAATGAATGTGTAACCATGCACTTACGCCCATAAGCCTCGTAATGCTAGGATACAGAGTATTTCGTTTTTTGCTCATGTACTCCTCAGCGTAGCCAATATAGCTCATCATCTTGCCTGCTTCAGTACCTTCGTGCTTACTTCTAGCATCAAGAAACTTCCCCAACAACAGTTCCTGGAAATTAAATTATCGGATCTGGACTTTTATCATTGAGTCAGGAGTTATTCATGTTAGATAAATGTACAGAGATGGTTGAATGTTTTGTGCCACATGGCACAATGTACATTATATATGATGATCTTTTGTTCGCTTATAAATAAATCGTAGGCAAAACAACACCAAAGAGGAAATGTGGTAAACTAACTTATAAACTTATATTATTGACTTCCCTGGCCTAAATATATTTCATTGAGTTAACCGTACACACTGCATCTGATTAATTGGACTGTAAAATAGGAGTGTGTTTCAATATATTATATAAATGTTATGGGACTAACTTGAAGGGACAGTCCCTTCATATGGTGCTGGAGTCTGTCGCACAGCAGCAGAAGTTCGTTACAGGAATGGTTCACATGATGAAAGTAGCTGAGTTTGGCATCAAGAGAAGAGTCTCCCTTCACTACCCACCGGTCCTCCTCTTTTCCCATCTTCTGGCGCAACTGCTGCTTTCCCAGCCAGTATTTGGTCTTCATCTTACTGGGCTTAGCTTGTGTTTTCCGCTGGTAGTCATTGGTTGAATAATCATACACCTGAAGGTGTTCTAACATTATAACAGGATTAGAAAGGGATGCACCATTCTGTTTAGAGTTTAATGTTAGTTTATATTATTAAAGTAAGATTAGTTCCTGAACTGTTAAAAAGCCATTCAATAATAAAAATCAACAGCTTTAGCTTTGAAATCTTTCGATATCACAAAATATCATTATCATTAAATCTATAATAGCCACTACTAGTTTAATTATAATACATCATCTTTGGAGAATTGATCACAAAGTAATTCCATGAAAAAGTCAGTAAATCGAAAGCTACCTTGTATTGATGGTCGATACTGTCATCTTCCTCCCTATTAACAGGCATGTAGTATCTATCCATCCTCACCTTCTAGGTTCTCCTTCCAAATTATTTTGGATTCACCTTCCTATACTAGAGAAAGAAAATTAAGAGAAAGCTGGATATACTGTACTCGCTCTAACCGACCTCCTGAGTCCTGCCCGTTCTGATCCCGACATAGGACACGGTTAGCAAAATTAGTCTAGAATTAGTTATAATGCAGCGATTTTTAAAATTTTGCGGTTAACTGTTGACAATTTCGTGACACGCACTCATGGTCAACCTCATCTCAGCTTTGGAGCAGAAAATCAAAAATCACTACATTATACTATTGGACAAGACCTTGACGAACACTGTTGCCAAGTCGGCAACTGTAATTGAACTTATGGAGACTAACACCGATCGATCACCGCTAGACCGGGACGATATGTTCCTAATCCCAGGCGATTATCGCCACTGCAGAAATTATTCTTGTCAATAGACAATAACCCACATTATTTAGGCATCAGTACGGAAATTACAACAGGAGATACACCCTTACCTGTAATACTCTTATTGCTGTAACTTTTTACAAGACCGCAGCTGAAAATTTAGATCTAGCTCTACAACATATCTCAAAATCTCAAAATTTACCTCAGACCCCCCTGCCCCCCCCCCCCCCCCCCCCCCCCCCTAATACTTAATAATAGGAAGTTTTATTGTTAATATTAATAAAATTGATTTGAAACAAAAATTGTTGCCAAAATTCACGTTACATTTCTGCTGACGTCAGAAAGGCTCAGACCCCCCCCCCCCCCCCCCCAATCCAGCATTTCCAAACCAGCCCTCTCCCCTCGGCTGCTGACGTCATAATAAGCAAATGCTCCCATACCCACAACTCAGTTGTTCAATATTCCAGCTCAAACTTTTGAAGCTATCAGTGTAAGTGTAGACTGTCCCTCATCACGTCAAAACCAATAGAATGGATATAATTAGTTGGTGCACATTAATATTAATGGTGGTATGTCAACAAACTCTTGTCACTTCAGTGTTGTTGTATAACTGTAGCAGCTGGGCTGCTCCTGAAACCGTAATGGCATCTGTCGACGTTCTTCAAAGGAAGCATCTGAGACAGATAATCAACACCTATTGGCCTACGGTTATCAGTAACGAGAACTTATATAAGAGATGTAATGTCAGTCCCCTTACTGAAAGGATCAAGAAAGCACGATGGAAGATGCTTGGGCACGTTCTCAGAAGCGGTGATGACACTCCCGCCTTCTTATCATTCAGATTTGCATGTTTAGGATGTTTTGACTACAAAGGAAGGAGGGGCAGACCTCGTTCAAATTTATTTGATTTATTATTAAAAGACATTATGACAAAACAAATTATTGTGATTGTAAATAAAAGATTTAATTTAAGTAATTTCAACGATTTAGTGTACAAAGCTCATGATAGACGTCTTTGGAGAAGTTATGGGTGAGTCGAGACTACTCGGCCACTCGATTTTATGATTTAATTTCTATTATCTTGTGTTTGCTGTATATAGTTGATTAATAATAATATGTCAACAAACTCCACCCTAGTGACCCTATAATAGTACTAATTATAGTACCCTATTATAATAGTACTTATTATTATTATTAAATCTAAAATAGCTAATAATTTAATAAATTATTAACAGGCCCCTTAACGTGGGCAATAATATACGCTTTATAATTATATAAACAAATTGAAGTCTATTTTCCAATGTTGTAAAGTGTCTCTTTAGATCTGTTTTGGTCTTTCGTGGGAGTTCCCACATTTGTTGGTTGAGAATGCTCAACATAACATACATGATGCTTGACTGCTTTATTGACCCGGACAGGCACCGGGGGCAGACATCCCAACACCAGTGCGTTGGGACATAGTGTTGGTCTGCTTCAGGACGTGTTAGATCCTAGAGAAGCCGCCATCCCCTCTACTGCTTTAGCTCAGCGGCAGCAAGGATAGGATACAAGGATACAAGGATACAAAAGTGATAATTACTTTATTGAGTACACAATAGTTGTAATTCTGAAATAATTTAGGTTACACAATTCTAATTATTGGCATGAGCCCTGATTTCCTGCCACATTGGTACCTCTGAAAGTACAGAAAAGTGGTGGATTTCGGGGTCCAGGATACTCCCTCTTTGTTCTTTATGGTGGTAATATTTCTCTGAGATGTTTGCAGAGTCTTTATTTCATGATCTTTCTAGTCAGATAAATCCTGGAGAGCATCATTTTGTCCCCAAAGAAATTCGACTCTCCTAATGAATGCTTTTTGTGTGCTGCTTTTTGTTAACACTTCATCTAGATAGGAATGTGAGTCTGCCCCACCCAGCTCTTCTTTCAGTTGCAGGTAACTGGTGTCTTGCACCTCCAGACACAATAGGAGCTGGTGTACTGGAGAATCAATGAAGCTGTTACAGAAACGACAGGCCTCACCACTGCCACCACCCATGATCTTTTGGATATTCGCAAAGAGTGGTGAGCTGCCGTGAATGTAGTCCATTATTCGGCTGTCCAGTTTTTACTCGTGTTGTGCCCGAATAAAAAATTGTTTTTGTCTAGGAGCAGCCCACTGTTTTTGATCTTTGTGATCACACCGAGTATCTTGGTCTCCTTGATGTTACTGAAAGTTCTGCATTGCAGATTTGTTTCGATGCTGTCAATCCAGATCTTGTTATAATAGTACTACTACTGTATATAGTATATACTATGACTAGGTGGTATTAGGTCATGATGCGATGAGGGAAAATATTGACTGAACAAAGACGTGAAAGTTATTAAGAGTTTACGGGTAAAAAACTTAAATAGATAAAACTTTGAAGGAGAGCCAAGTTTGAGCTAGAATATGAAACAATTGCACTGCCACAATTTAAATTTTTATCTGATGAGGGCGGTAGTAAACCACCACAGCTATACTTAATAAACCATATCATTTCCAATTTATTACTAAACTTTGAACTTATTTTCGATTTTTCACGTTTTGAGTAAGCCTTGACTTTGAGAGTTGATTAGTACGATTAATAAGTTTTGTGTATAGAAATGACGACGGGTGTAGGCAGGGAAAATTAGTTTGCGACTGATATAAACAGTTGATCAGTTCAGTTCGCCGAAGTATTAATATTAAGGAAATTAGCAAAGTTTTATTGTTAATAAAATTGATTTGAAACAAAAATGTTTACCAAAATTCACGTTACATTTCAACCTGTTCTCTAGCTGGCACAGCCTGAAGGACTATTCAAAACACTAACACTCTAACCTGATCCCACTTACCCTAACTCAACTTTAACAAAAGAATTTGCTGAAACCCTAACCCTAACGAGAAATTAGACCGACTTCCTTATTCCTATGTCCTAGCTATATATATAATAAGGTCCTATATAAGGTCCGATATATGGTCATATCATGTAATTTAATCAAAACAGTTTTTCGCCAATATCTCCAATCTCGCCAGGGGAGCATTTTAACCCTATCCTGTCATGTGGGGTGATTTGTAATCAGCGTCCGAAAATAAATCGATACAAGTTGGTTTCAGCTGTTTATCGGCTGTAAAGTGATTTAGCGTTGAAAGGCTGTGTCCTATTACCATAACACATAAGTTAACCGAAGGACACGTTTTTTTTAAAGTGTGGTGAGTTGCTGATTTCACCTTTTTCAAAGTAGAGTGCACAAAATGAGGAAAAAGTTGCAGTGCTTTTTAAAGTGCAACCATAAATTTGTACATAAGATGAAGTGAAAATATTCAGCAGTTGTGATTTGAAAAAACGAAGTGCCAGGCTCAAGCAGAATATGGCTTATAAAATGAGCAATTAAACTGAGTGCCAAAAATCAGCAAACCATTTTAACCTCCAATTGACTAATTCCATTGATTTCGCCATATTTTGCTCAAATATTGTTCACATTACACTAGTAGATTGGAGTGAGTAACTGTTTTCAGCATTTTAGTCATTATTAGTAATTCCAGTAAGTGACAGAAGTCAGTAAAAAGTCATTTTTATATCTGAATACGACTGCTCTATTGATGGTTCTTGTCAAAATATTAAAAAGATCAAGGCATAACTGTGTTTTTTTCTGGATAAGACAATGATTGGTTGTGTCTTTTAACTAATTCCTACATGTTTATGTGCCAGCCATCAGCAAAAAGTCACACATGTATCAGCTTGAAATTTAATTTTTTCTAATTGATGAAATAAGTATCGAAATTTCAGTTCTCTTGTTCAGTCACCATATTGACTTTTAGATTGAAGGTGCCATTAATCAGTTAAAAGAAGGCTTGAACTCTGTACTGCTTACACTCAATTATGTCCTGAGTGCCCAAATTCAGCATATCAGTCATATAGATAAATGATGTAAAAAGACAAAAATTGTCTATTTCTTGATCCATGGGTGTACTAGTGTTAGTTTAAGCATCTATTTCGAAAAGTAATGTGTTCATAAAGGGGTCAAAAACAGATAATAATATGAGAGTGCCACTAATCAGCTGTAGTGACTGCTGCAGCCAACGTGGGAATTACCAATTATTATATGTCAATATCAGCATTATTAATCATCTCAAACCACCGAATTAAGTAAAACAAAATTTTAAGTAAAACAAAATTTAAATTTTATTGCCATTACAATGAATAATGATATCATAATAAATATAAGTAGACATCCGATAATAAACTTGTTACATCCAGTACAACCCAAGATGTCAGCCGACGCGACTTACAAAAATAAAGAAAGCTAGCATGTTATGTTCATTGTTCATAGTTTTTCTAACGAGCATGCTTAGCACTTAGGCTGTACTACGGAAATAGTTTTAATTCTACGTCATATTAAAAACTTTACATCATTTTTGAGATACAAAAATAAATTTTAAAATAAATAACTCTTTTGCTGTTTAGGCGCGGCACCGCGCTTGACCCACATGCTATACAGTGTGTAGCAACACAGCGCTGAAAACAGAAGCTATAACATATAAGCGGTGCGTGCGCCGCGCCTAAACCTAAAACCATAAACTTTAAATATTGTCAAGATATTAAACGAGTTTTGCAAAATAATATAGCATGCTGACTTCGTAGGATATTACAATTATACCAGTG